TCTTGCATGCAGCAGCGTCCAGTGTCATATGCCCAGCTCAACACGCATGCCGAAGAACTATGCCATGTTGTTCCACGCTATGCACTATGCTCCATCCATCTGACCTCAGTCTGCACAGGACTTCTGCGCCCCATACAGGAGTAGCCCCAGGTGAGACTCAGCATGCATGAAGCGTTTCGCGCGTGTTAGAAACGCATCTTGATGCAACTAGCGGCTGCCAGATTCCCATTACAAGTTTGTCTGATCACTAGGCGGGCCTTCTACGTTAAGTTAGTAAAGGGGACAAAGCGCAAAGCGTCAACCGCGGTGATAATCGAACATAGCTTCCTACACTGAGCACACCAGATGGGACTCGAACCCACAACCTCAGCCTTAGGAGGGCTGCGCGCTATCCATTGCGCCACTGGTGCGTCCGTGTGGCCTCTTCGCTGCGATTTGACGGAACAACCCTACGGCGCAGCAATTTAAATCACTTCTGCATTTGAAAAGTCTTGCGCAGCATTTGCCAACTGCGCTCCCGATACAAAATACACTATGCTCACCTAACTGTGTGGTGCCGCATGCTAACGTTATGTTATTGTGCCAAGCAGTACTCTGCTACTCTGCGGTACATACGAAAGGGCGTGTCCAACTACGCAGTGGACCACTTGGATAGTACTTTAAATATGTCTGCATGAAGCAAACATAAAGCGCGGCAGAAGTAGCAAATGGGTGATACTGGAGTGCACCGAAACTGGAAAGATTACTTTTGGTTTGACTTTGGTCAGTGACACCTCTAAAAGACCCTGCGGCAGGGCTTTAAAGTTTAAGTGAAAGGGTACAAAGTAGGCTTGCATACTGACGAGAAAAAAAAAACGCCTAAGACAGTTTACCAGTGTTGCACGCCCTCTATGGGCTTCAGTAACACCAATGCGAATTCATAAACATGCAGAATGACGCTGTGGCGAGGCAAGCTGCTGATATTTTTCTCTGCATATTTAGTTTGTTCGTCTAATCCCGTGCTTCAAACGTCACTTGAGTTATTAAATAGATTATTATCAAGGTTTTCGGAGCATGTCAAGGCAGGGGAAGAAAGCGGCCGGATATGTAACGGCTTGAAGAGTCGTGCTCAGAAAACTCTGCATAGAGCAACAAAAGTCAACTTCCTCCTGAAGGCGAAAGGAAGACCCGCTTACCAAATGAAAAGTCAAACAAACGGCTGCACAGTCGTCTGTGAGAGAGTACCACCAATCCCTGGGGGGCTCGCTTATGGTTTCTCTAGACCGTGCGTCTTTTTGTGAACCCTTGAACCTTCATCTGAGTTACGTCACGGCAGGATGGCCGTAGCGATACGTAACAAGGGCTGCAGTGCCAACGTGCCCTCTGTCCTGTTATGGGGACGCATTAACGCCAGCCCAAGGCAGGGCTGGGGTTAAGGCGCCCCCATAACAGGGCAGATGCAACAGTTGTGCTGCCAAGAAACAAGGCTTTCAGTGGTGATATTGGCATGACACCTTCACTGGCCATGTTGGCGTGACACTTTCACTGGCCATATTGGCGTGACAGTAAGGTCCTAGTTACTCAGCATGGGAAAAAAGCTGGGGGAAAGTGGTAAGGGGTGCAAATAAAACCGCATCCATCAGCCCAAGTCAATTGTTGCTCCGGCAGTGGGAAACAGTGCGGTGAAAGACAACGGAGGATATATAGCATTGAAAAGGGTATCACGCTTTGTGAAACAATGCCACCGAGGAAACTAGGCATGAAGAGACTGAGCAGAAATCGAACTCCGACGAACGCTCAAGGAGATCACGAACTATGCCTGCTTGGGTTGCTGTTAGCGTTCTGCAGCTCGTCCTTTATAAGGCTCGGTGCCCAATCACACGGCTTTCGACAGCGTTCGACAGTCGAGGATTTAGTGCTAGGATCCAAAGCTCCAACGCTATCAACGCCCTTCGCCATAAACGAGCCTTGACTTACATGTTTCCGATGTGGGTGAGCTCAGTGGAGGGACAACTCGTCAGCTAGGTCCGGCGCAGGGAGTAAACGACTCTGGACAGCAGCATCGAGTGCGTGCTCGTGTTGTGAAGATCACGTCCAGTGTTACCAGGGCTCAAATTGGCAACGATTCGGGTTCGGTCTTGTCCGCCGTAGTGGGTGCTCCGATTGTGAAAACAAAGTTAGTTACGCTGGTAAGTTACAAGGCCAAAGCTTAGTTTACGGCGACTGGTGGCACAAGGGTGGCCCGTGGTGAAGTTGGAGCTGCAGCGAGTTGTGGGAACCCTGCTGAGCCTGGCCCGCTGGCTTCTGGTCAAGCGTGTTGAGAACTAACTGCTTGCACATGCCACGATCAACCAGCCGTACTAAATTCTGTTGGGAGTTGAAGAAAGGGTTTCGGAAGTTAATTAGAATACAGCATTTACTGGAGCAAATCCGAAGCTGAGATAGGCGAGTGCACTTCGACGACTGCGAATGGATGATGATGATGCAAGCCGAGCGTATGTGTGAAAATCCACAAGCGTACGACGCAGAACTGCGCGACACCGAGGGCTCCTACAAATGGGGAAGATAGGCTGAAACGGGAGACACGCCTGCTGTACGGAAGCTGCCGCTGAGAGATCCCGTCAGCTTCCCGAGCTGCGCCAACTTAGGGCCCACGGAGTGCTGCGCACCTAAGCTAAGCTATCACTGAAGTTTGCGGGCAAATGGGAAGCCCTGTCTCTATCACTTTTATTGGGAGGGGGCATTAGAAGAGAAAGCAACCGGGACAGTAAAGTTACCGGATCAGCGAACTCGTTGCAGCAGAAAACCACTGTAGACAATGTGTTGCAGGAAAAAAACCACTGTAGACAATGTCTCACTGGACGCCGTTTCTATCATGGAGACAAGAGAAGGCGTTAGTAATGTCGCTAAATCCACTAGGGATAGGAGCTTATGGCTGCGGCTGCCGCGCAGTCGCGCTGGAGTCTTCGGGTGCTGTAGAGTTGATATTTTCCAGCTGCTGATACCGGCGGATCAAGCTGTCTTCGGGTAGTGCGTGAGGCGCAAGCGTATACACATTTATGAATATTGAACCCCCGCACATCATAGGTGTTCAGTCACGAAGTAATTAGTGCAAGGAAACACATGGGGATCCGAGGATTAGAGGAGCACTAGTAGAATTGCAAAGTAGTCAGAAGCTTTTTGATCATGAACTCACCACTAATGACTCAGTAGTTCAAGGCGAGCGTACTAATTTCGCCGTGATCTGATTCTAGACGTAGAAAACTGAAAGTCAGGAAAAATCAGGTTTGCGGCACGCATGAAAGAACCATTATGGCGAGGGGAAAAAAGAGCTAGAGATATGACAAAAAAGCATATATTAACTACAAACTGGGACGTTTCGAGCAACGTGAGCGGGAAATGAATTTATTCAAAGCCCCCCAAATTTTACGATAGCCTGGACCATTGCTGTGGGGAGGAACTACGGGCGTTTTCTTTCTTGCGCACTCCTTGGGTGGGTAGCGCGCAGCTATGCTTATTATAGCATGGGCCTCAAATATTATCAGGTTCCTACTGTTGCTGGACAAGGAAACAGTATATAGAGTTTCATGCTTCCTGTTTTGGTGTATGCAACAAATTTTCTCTTCCATAGCAGACTGTCCCGTTGCTGATACCTAAAAGCCGGCTCGTGTCATTCTGAGGTCGAGTAAGTCTCATGGTTTGGTCCCTCATCTTTAGTTGATCACTATTCAGAGCGTAGTCGCAACGCCTAGACCAATTTTGCAATGAACGAAAACACCACAGGGGAATTCGTCAGTTTAGGAGTAAATCTAATAATTCTCAGCAAATCAGGCAATTCGACGAAAGAATATGGAGCAAAATATATACTTGCATTTTAGAACATTGAACGGTACTTCTGTGAATACGCGGGGAAGTGCGCTTGTATGAAGCAAAATATATGCTTGCATTTAAGAACATTGAAAGGTACTTGTGCGAATACCTTTTATGTCGCAGGCGAACAGGTAACGGCGGGGCTCTAGGGCTATGCGTCCTTCCTTTTGCCTGCTGCTCTTCAATTATGCAACAGTACACTGCACGGCATCAATTAATTTTAGGGAACACAAATCGTGTGTAATTCGCAGACTCGTGCGACTCTCTGTAGCACCGCGGTCCCGTGCCCGTCCTAGTCAATTTTTACACACTTCTCTGCATCTTAGATGTCACTGAAACCTATTTGCAAGAATATACAGTACTTCTCAAATCTAACCTTCCCTACAATCAAAGCCCCAGCCAGGCTCGAAAAGCACCAGACGTGAATAGAAGCACGAACACGAAAGATATGTGATTCAAACGGGAACACCTTGAAGGTGTGAAGGGTTAACGCGTGACAAACATGCCTTGGAAAACAGAATAGTAAACGCACCCCCTTGTTTTGCCTTCAAAAATCATTGAGTTCAAGTCAGTTTGTCAGACCGGAATCCAAACATTACTCCGTGCGATCTTCGAAAACTACTTAAACCCGGGAGACGGCCCTATAGGCTCATTGGCCCTAAAAGACGTGATGATTGCTCTCCTATACTCCTAATGTTTCTACAATAATACTGGACCGCTTATCACAGCTGCATCCTCCGGAGTCAGGCCGTTGCACGAAACAGTGAATATTTCGGCCTGTCAGACGCATCTTTCTAGGAAGCCCCCACTTGAGAATCAAAACCCTGCGCCACCTCAGTGCTGTTCAAAATAATGTTGCGAATCCGCGCAATACTGTAGACGCAACAATGCATACAGGGCACATAAGACACCTTCTGCCAGTAAGCCTGTGAATGTATCCATTCAACTTTTTCCCTTTCGGGATCTCCAAATCGTTGGCGGGGAACCCTTGAATCAAACGCACATGAAACATGCATGGAAATGCTCATGCACACGTAATGGCAAGTACAAACAGTTCTTGTCTTCGAGAAGTAGTTGCCCATGGAACAAGCATCGCTTGCTGATAAGCCGTTCTTCGCGGCAGAAAATGTTCAGTTACTAGCTCGTAATACTCAAGTGGGAAGCTTTGCGAACAGCGTCTTCTCCAAAGGCTCGAAAAAAACCTTCAACCTCTGCTGAATGACATCAGTAGTGCCTTTTTCCGCAGAGCGCACCGATTTAAAAGGTGGCAGGGGTAGCTCCTGGTCTTGCGACACTGGGTTCACCGTATCGAGACTCTGGACAACCCAGCGCGGCAGAAGCTCTTGTATGCGGGGAAGTGCATACCTCCTGTCTACCAGTAGAACTGCTGCATAGTCCCTGCTGTGTCGAATAGCACGCCCAATTGTCTGGTTGACTGTTATCATGCATTGCAGTAAACCGTACTCGACATGCTTCTGCGTTTGTTGCTGCTCCCTGTGGAGGTCTGCCTGCTTATTGGCACCTATAAATTCACTCGGTGAGTCTTGCCTTGCCTCTTGAGCTCCTGCTGAAGTCACATGCTGCCGCATCATTATTTCGTCATAGTATTTCTCTTGTAGGCGGAATATTGTGTCCTGAGTAGACGGGAACGGGAGCCCAACGATTACCAAAAGCCTGGCGAGAGCATCTGAAAAGTTCACTCCTTCACTCAGTCGACCACCCATAACGCAAAACAGGAATGCTGTTTTTGGTCTGAGAGGTTTTTCTTTGGGTTCTGCTAGTCCGGTGGCACATTGTTGCCAAGGATAGCCCTTCCCGCCCTCCTCGTCGCTCATTTGGTCCAACTGCTTCGTACAGTCTGTGCTGTCTTGTCGAAACTCCGGTGTTGTGCCTTTTCCAAGAACAGCAGATTTGTAGAGCTTCCAAAGGATAGCACCGTATGCCATGTAGAAACCTGCTTGCGCACGGCAGATGGAGACAGAAAATACGTGCCTTATGACGAGTTGAAAGCAGTGCAGAGAACATCAGACATTAAATTGCACCTGAGGGCAAAACCATGCGGAAGACGCGCAAAGAAGCATTCATACACGTTTGGAGACGTCCAAATACACGTTCAATCTGAGCAGCTGGAAAGTTAAAAATGCACTCATTTTTGAGCCCAGAAAGGTACTGTGGGCAAACAATATTCGCAGCGGCACAAGAAATTTACGTCTCCACTAATACTAAAAACTTCGCCGGAGCATACAGGAAGATACTCTTATACGTCAGAAAGACTGAATAGGGTACGCGCGCCTGCACAGATATGCGCATGTGCATACGTGATTCTTGCACACCACGCATATATGCAAGTGCGGCAGGGGTTATTGCTGTTAAAAGGCGCGGATACTTAGGAACAATGAGAAGCCAACTGAGCCATAGAAGGGCAGGCGTCAGAGACACACTCATAATATAATAAGAATAGGCACAGGCGAAGCCAGTCCTACCAGCTTTGAATTTAGTGGCTCCCGGCATCCGTTTTTCGACGAGTAAAGGTCCTCGCCTTCGTAGCTCTTCAACAATTGACGGAGCGGTTGAAGCAGCAGCACTGCCGCCAGCATCAGCAACAGCTACAAAGGACTGTAACATTGCGAAAGAAGGGAAAAACACAACAATCCCACCAGGCACTGTTCCCGAGACAGAAAGTAGTAGACGCAGCAAGGCAATAAACTGCGATGGAAATTGCATCCGTTGAGAGTACTCAAAGCACATGGGAGACTGATCAAGAGATACTGCACCGCACACACGAAAAAAAAAAGCAACACCCTCCGATGTTTACGCTGTTGCGTCTTCAGGCGTTGACGCTGTTGCTGATGTTGCGAAGGCATGCATACGATAACTACCACTGCAAAATGCACCAGGAACAACGCCACCGTCACTCAAGATAACCTCATCTGCAGCATGTGCCAAGTGAGATAAAAGATGGCAGAAATAATCACGAATATGGCACCTTCGAACGCATTTGCGGAGCCATAATGCGCAGTTTCAGCAAAACCCGAGAAAAAAGAAACAGACGCAGGCTAGAATCAGCAGGTATGTGCTTACGCCTAGGCACGGCAAGAGCTAAGACTCTTTCCTTTGCTGCAACGGAGTCCGCCGAGAAGAAGAGATATTGAGATGGGGAAAGGCAACGCACAAACCGTGACAGAGATGCAAATGGAGATAAAGTCCCTCCCATAAGCACCACCAGACGACTTGCTTTGACTGAATTGGCACAAGTCACACACTATTAAAAACCTACACCCGAGGAAAAGAGAGCCAAACTTAGCAGCGTCCCTGCATACGCGCGCGGCTACGGAACAGCTTAAAAACTGTTTTGCTGCGGAGACTTACTAATGGGCTCAAAAACTTTCTCTGCGTCGCAACGGCCACAAAGACACAGCATAAATCTCCTGATTCGATTCCAAATACAGCAAATGAATTCAAGTTTGCCATGCACTCTTACGGTTGCGGAGTGGCACTCGGGGTTTGCAAGTAGGGAGCGAACGCCTACCAGTGGCCAGGCAGACAACTTCAAGCTTGCTACAGCAGCACCTGCTGCCACTGTCTGATGTTGTTGCCGCTGCAGCAGTTGCGCTCTGGTAAGCAGCAACACCAGGTGACGCTGCTGATGCTACAGTTTCATGTAAGTTGCTTATGACAAGCCTGTCGGCTACGTCCATGGCCAAAAGCGCACACAGTAAGTTCTTTAGTGTGTACATGCAAGATGGCTCCATGATCTGTTGTTGCACGTGCGGCTGGTTCTTCCTCTGTTGCATTTGTTGGCACTTTTGGCGGTTTTCCAGCTGTCGCTGCTGTTGGGTGTGATTCTGTTGCACTGCAAATCCTCTTATTTTCTGGCAGATGCGTATATTGCTGTCGCACAGAAAAGCCACCAGCTCGTGAAGGTCGAAGCCGTCGAGCTTCAGACGGCGCAGTAAAGATGTCGCGGTGAGGACCGTGCTCGCACGCTCTGCCGCTCTTGTATCCGATGCGCCAAGTTCTATGCCTGCTACTGGCATTGTTGACGGCTGTGGCGGGTCACCAAGCAACTCAACTCCTGCCTCTTTCAAATCTACTTTGCCTCGCTGCTGTTCCTGCCACTGTGGCTGGCGATGCTGTTTCTGTCCACAGCAGCAGAAGGGCTGCAATCCCTTGTGAATATTTTCTGCGAATCTAGCGAGCTGCTGCAACAAATGAAAAGATCTCGGAGCTAGTCTGTTGCCGTAGTAGTCCACGTAAAGATTCAGTAGTCGCGCTGCAGATGCTGCTGATCCGTGGGAAATGGCAGCAGCTTTGCTGCTTCTGAGGGCAGCAGCGAGATGGTGAGCTTCATCAATACAGAAGACAGCATTCGTCAAGGCCACAAGACCAGTCTCTGCCGCTTCTCCTTGAGCCGGGAATGCAAGCGAAAACGGCAGAAGCAGGACATCTGCTGCAGGCGACGCTGCGCGACAGCCGTAATAAGGACAGCCGCCGACTTTCCTGCCTATACGCCGCAAGTCTTCTATGTCCAGAACTGAAGATACAGCAGCGTCTGCCACAAAATTCCTTCTTTTGTAGTAGCTACACAGGCCTTTTGAAACTAAGTAGGAGCACTTGTCCCCCATATCACTGCTGCAACTGTTGCTAGTGCTGCTGTTTCCGCTGCTGCACACATCTGGGTGTATGCAAAGTTGTCTTCTGCCGGCTGCAACAACTGCAACAAAGCGCTTGACATCTTCCACCTTCCCTTGCTTTTGCATAAGCCGTATTTCGTCAACGTACTGTTGCAGCTGATGGTGCGTCCTGCTGCATATAACTATTTGAGGCTTTTGGAGGTTTTCAGTGTAACCGCGATTAGGAGCGCCCCATTGTTCTTTGTATGCGTTGCTAGCTTCGAGGCGTACGGAAGGGGGAGACTCATCAGGAGTAGGGTCATCAAAGTCCGCCTCTTTCTGTTGCTGTGATTGCTTGTCAGTGGTTGCTGCTGGGCGCTTACGACGTATGCCAATCTGGCAATCCCAATGCCCATGGTGCTGCGCCTGCTGAGGAGTGTTTGCTGCTGCAGCGGAATCGGCCCATGATGCTGCCCTCTTCAAGTAGTCTTCTCTGTCTGCTAAGAATTGTCGCACTCGTAGTTTCTGCTGCTGCTGTAGTGCTGTTTTAATCCACGGCGGTGCTTTTCTCCGAGGCACCTGACATGTTTGCTGCTGTTGTTGAGCTTGTTGCAGCTGTTGTAGTAGCAACTCTTCTTCATTCCTTTTTAACCACAACACGGCTGGACAAAGAAATGACAGTGTTTTCCCCCCTCCTGTTGGCATTTCGAGTGCAGCAAGCTTTGTCTGCTTGCTGCATCCCTGAAGCGCCCCCCATAGTGTAGCCATGAAAACTATCTGGGAAGGATAGGGGGAATAAGGGAAACCGAAAGTGCCATCCTCAACTGCCAGTTCTGGCGTTGAGGAGGATGACGCCGACAGTGTGTCACCTGTCTGCTGGTGGACACTGGCTTCCATGTTACACTGGGCTTCATGGAGAGATGTAATGCTTGGATACTGCATGGATTTTATTTCGTCTGTGGGAACAACACCAGATAAAGCACGTGTTCTGGTTGTTTCGTATCAAAGCAGGAAGCCCTCCTCCGACTGGTGCTGCGCAGTTTCCTCCAACCCCCTCAGGACACAGCATGAAAAATGACGCTTCATGCTGATCTGTCAAAACAACTGCATTCATAACTAATATGAAAAGCCCAATATCTCGACCAAGCATTCTGTTGTTGCAAAATGAAGATCGCGTCTTTGGGACTCCCGAGCAGTTTGGGGAAGCCGGCTGCTGTACTCTATACTAGGTTAGGGAAGCAGCGCAAAAGACCAAAGTGGATAAATAAATATAGAAAATTGAAATGATTTACTCAGTCACTACATGCAGAGGCAGTAGCTCTATATTTAACTGCTTCCCAGTGTAGGGCCGCAAACATACTATGCACTCCAAGGGAGGACGAAAATGTCCTTGGCAAACGTTAACTCAACTTAAAGAGGGACGTTATACAAACTAAAAAGAGAATGCATTAGGTGACAGGACTCTTACGATGGCTAGCCCGAGCTTTTCGCAATTCAGTGTTATGAAGAAGCAAGAATGATGTCATTACTGACTTTTCTGTCTTCGCTATTTGTTAAGCTTCAACACTAGTGCTCGTGGGCTCCATCAGCAAACAAGATAACGAACTGTATTTGTTGTCGAAGGGAGCTGTCGCAGCAGATACCGCTGAACCACGTACTCAACGCTGTGATAATTTTGGCAAACTGCTCCTTTCCAACCAAGGTCCTCACATCGAACCCGTTTCATGCTAGGTATTCGTCAGTTTGTCAAGGTCCTCCCATCGAACCCATTTCATGCTAAGTATCCGTCAGCTTGTCACCTCTGGAGAATCGTGCAGGTTTAAACGCGCCAATGATACCAAGGAGTAACAGCTTCGTACTTGACACTTTCAAACAAGCGGCAGTCAGAGAGCTTATTCCATCTTCTGGAGCTGACACACAACACAAGGCATTTCTGGACCACACATTTTGGATGATTGGCCAGAACGCCCTACCCGCAGCCGATCCGATCCATTCCTTCAGCGTGCATGACCACGCCCTTTTAAAAGCTCCGCGCAGCGTCAAATGATGTTCTACGTGGAAGGGTCCGCGGAATCCACGTGGACTGACGGTGAGCAGTATGGCTGAGTAGCAAAAGTCAGTGATTGATCTCAGTTCGAAAGTTGTCACTGAGGTTCAATTGCGCTCAGATGGCGCATCGGCAAAAATGTCTACCAGTGGGTGCCGCCTCTCCGTTAGTCGTGCAGCAATGCCTTTTACGTGTTTTAACTCGTTCCGTACCTACCCCGCTCCCCTCATTTGCTGGCCCAAAATGCCGTAACTTGCCGTTTACTGTAGCGGATGCGTTTGGCAACTCTATAGAACGATGAAAAACCGATCCTATACCAGGGCGAACTGGGGCATTGGCTATCTACAATAGCTTCTCATGTGTCAAGCCACAGCTGAGAACCGGGTCAGCTTAGAGGGCGAAAAGGATTCAGGTCTTTGGAATAGTGATGGTTCCAGTGCCATTGGGGTCAATACTAAAGCGGGGATAGCTATGCAGTTGTGGAGTCATGATAGGAGGCGTATAATAGGCAGTACAACGTGGTCCGAATGAAGCTGGAGTGAACGCTCACCGGCCGCCTGCTATCTGCAGAGTTTATGACGGGTTTTCACACAATTAGGCAAGGGGTAGCCTGGCAAAACAGAAACTCTGACTCCGTTCATGCAGTGGCAGGGCATTTGGGGAGTCGAAGACGAACGCCGCTAGAACAGAATCTGGGCTGGTCGGATGCTTTGGCAGACTTCACCGTAGGTGGGCTACTGTACTGAACAGAATTCAAGTACCAAGGCAATATGCTGGAGGCCTTGCATTGGAAGCATAGATTGAGATCAAGCTAAGTATTTGACTTGGCAGAGTTGGATTTACTTATGCTAGTCGTCTAACTCGCCCTCTCCACTCGATTTTTTAGTTTCCAGCGTGAATTGGTTCCTTGACCTTACAGTGGGTTTCATGCCGATGTACATTAAATGCTCCCCAGTGCCCCTTTTTTATATCATGACTTTTTCAGCAACGTTCCTCATACATGCGTGAGCGGCGACGCTCACAAGGCCGCCGGCGTGCTCAGCTTTATCAAAGTCAGGAGCTTGAGGACTCACTTGCGTTTTTGTGCTTTCAGGGACTCACCTGCGCTTTTGTGCTTTCAGACTCACGGCCGTAACTCTACACGGTATTCTACAATATGTACGTGGGTGAAACCGCCTTGTTGAGCCCTTCGCTTTCTTTCACTGAAAGCGCCTGTGTGAAAGCCTTTGCCCAGTGTACATTTGGAGAGAATTCCAGGAACCGCCCACCGAAGAGAACCGTCGTCCTGCAAGCGTCCGCTTTTGGCCAGAAAACGTGAGCAGTCGGCGGGAATATTGTAAAACGGTGTACGTTGACGATTTTGGTCTACGCCACACTCATTTGCGCTGGCGTCCTCGTGTTGTGCCATCTACAGTTACTTCTACGCCCAGCTTGACGTTCCACTTTCAACTCCGTGCAGTGGGTGCCTTGCTAGAGTTCTTAGTTTCGATTGTGGGGTGTAGTGCCGCTGCTTCTTCCAAATTACTGAGTAGGCATTTAGTCAATCTGGGTCGCACCCGCAGCAGCGCAAAGACAGCGGCGGTTCTGCTTTCTTCTGTGTTCCTCTCGTCCTGATTCCCTTTCGCCCATGCCTATTCCTTTTACTGTTGCTGTTAAAGCATATCACTTCCATGCAGTCGCAAAATCAAATTTTGGGAGGCTTGTTCCACGGAAAGCCAAGCTTGAACAAGCGTTTCTTGATTTAATTTGTCGAAGGGCAAGGACAGAATTCGCAAGGGTACTCTTTTGTTCCCCGATTGCCATTCGCTTCGCAGCTCTCACAGTAACTTTTACTATTACATTTATTTCCAGTAGCACTGGGGTAAATCAAATATTTTTATCTTTCTCCGTTGGCCCATTTTTTACATTAAAATGGGCACAGCATTGGCACCAACCTCCAGAAGGATAGCTACTGAAATGCAAAATCACGCTCTCCAAAGATCAAGCTCTCTAGAAAGGGCTAATGGGCCCTGTACTTATTTTCAGATTAGTTGGCTGTGAGCCAGGATACTTGCTTCTCAACAATATCTAACGAAGGTTTGCTTTTTGGACCGTTTTCCCACAGTTGTTTGAATACTGTAATGCTCTGCCGCAGCTTCTTGTTCTGGGTTTGGTCTCCACTGCAACAAACAGTTGCTCATTTGTAGAATAATTTGGACATGGTAAAGGTAGTCCTGCTCACTTATTGATTAGTAAATGGCTGGCCTCAGAACTGTGCTGATGTGTGGAATGACTTGCGCTCAGTGCATTAGAGTACCTACTCAATTGTACTCGATGCATGCATTGGAATATCTACCTAATTCACGTTCTTAGTATGTGCTGTTCGTGAGCCGGTGAGGCCTCTGCAACTATGGGCAAGGGTTCAAGGAGCAGGCTTGAGCAAACCACAGTATTGTCGGCCGATGAATGTATGTGTATATTGTGTGTATAACGTGGAGGGCAAAATCTCATGGAAAGATAAAGAAACTGTTGCAGGTTGGTTTCTGAGCACATTAGTTAGGTTCACTCTTTGTTCACCCAACGTAACGAAAGCTGCTCATATAGTTTGATCACACCTTGCACAGTTTCCAGTTTGCCCTCTCAAAGCTCTAATCATCGCTAGGGGTGCGCTGCTGATCGATAGCTTCACCAGTAACCAACTGAGGTCACCCGTACACTACTTCGAAACCCCTCCATGGAGCTATACTGTAGTTAGCGCTTAAAGATGACCATATTGCGCGCTCCGCTGTACGAACAAAAGTTGCGCGGGTGCCTACATGGTTGTCCGGAGAGCGGTGTGCATGCTCAAGGCATAAATATACTGCCTTTCAACAAGTGCACCGAATATTACTCACACAGTGGTAGCCAGATCCCTTGTAGGAAGCGTTTCCCCTTCCGAAACGTTAAACCTTGTTTTGAAGATATAGCACGGCCAGAATAAGATGAAGAATTATGGTAAATTGGGAAAAAAAGCGCGGACTGAGTGTATTTCGCAGTTCTTGACTTGTGCGCAAGGGTGGCGGCAGTCTTGGTGCTTGTTTAGGAGCATGAAGAGCTACAGTACGTTCAACATCTATATTGACATTTTCTCAAATTGCACAATTACTGGAATATATTGATTTCTAGATACTAAAGCAGTCTTTTGAAAGCCTTAATGCCGGACCACATTGTTGTCCGTACAACGTGTATATTGCGACATCAGTAGGACCTTGTCAACTCATAAACCTAGACACCCTTTTGAGACTTCTCGTGCCGGTAGTGTTCACTCCAACTGCTGTCAAGGCATACTTCACCAGGTTCAGTTCTCAGATTTATTGATAACCTGGATCCGATACATAATTTCGAGGCGTCTTCCACTATTGCCTCTGGCCGTTCTTGCCGTGCTTTGTGACGCCAGGTCCACTAGGCTCTTATATGGCATATGCAGCCATAAAATATTACGGGTTAATTTAGGGAAGCTTCCATAGGTCTTGCTGGTCCGGTGACACAGATCCTTATCACGTAAGGACTTATTGTCCATATTTCGACTCTCTAGGGCGACTAGGACTTAATAATGTCTAGAATAACCTTAAAAGCCTTTCAAGTAACTTATGCCTACAGGCTTTCTCCAACACTGCTATTTCCCGTAGAACCCGAAGTCTTTGACGAGTTCTCAGTTCTCAAGCCTCAAAACATTGCTGGCGCCTAATATCTTAGTGAAGCAGCGAGAATGCAAGTCAATACTTCAAAGTATGAAAAACCCTAGTTGCAATGCTGTTCGTCCTTGTGGCTCCAAGCATTTCGCAAGCTAGTGAGCACGCCCCCATCGAGAACAGGGTCAGTTCATAGGGCGGCCCCTTACAAGTTATGAACGCATCCTCGCACACTGTAGCAGAAG